ATTTGCATTTTCACCCTAAACCATATATCCTGCAATGACTTTTTCAGGAAGTTGATGAAATGACAAAAAAACCAGCCAAATTCAACCGGGCACGCGAGAAGGGAACTAGCTGGGCTGTCGAATTAGGAAGTGAGCCACAATCGCGCCCCGTTTTTGTGAAAGATCTCAATCATCCCAGACAAATGCTTATACATGTACGTGTATATATATCACTTGAATATCATTATCTACTTATTTTACATTGCTATTTATCGTATAAACCCGATTTTTTTTTTTTCCAACCAGATGGCTTGTGCCGATCATGATCGCTTTCTGGAGATTGCCGATGTACTTCATCATTTGCAATTAACTATCCTCGAGTGCAATATGGAAGAAAGCTCGGAAAGTTCTTCGTGGGCCCGCTTTGTTGTCGAGGTATCTACTTTCACTCCAGAAACTTCCGTTATGCTATTCGTGTGGAGTAATTTGTATGTTATTTTTTTGTTTTCTTGCAGACGAACGGAAACTTCCACCGGCTGGACATATTTTGGGCGCTCATGAAGCTGGTGCAAGAAAACGGGCCGCCAGTTTCAAGCAAGATTTAAGGTTTTCTGTTCTGTTTTTAGGATTATGTGTTCATTAATATGCAGTTGGGTATACGATGTTTGTATCAATATTATCTGTTTTTTTTAAAGCTGTAATATGAGTACTAGCTAATCTGCATTGCCACTAGAGCATTGCCACTCGGATTCATGGGAGCTGATTATGAAACGCGTGTGTAGTGAAATTGTTTAATTTCTGCTGTTTGGGATGTTGTGATGAAAGGAGCCTCTGATTTCATCTTTGCAGTAGCTATGGCTTATACTCCGAAAAATAAAATGGACGAAAACCAATTATTATTATTATTATTATTATTTTTTCTGTTCTTTTTGAAGAATAATGCCAAAATTGTTGGGTCTTCCATTTGACAACAAAATTTTCATTTTTTTCACCGCTTTAAAATTATTTTCGTTTGCTAACAAAATTATAAAAGCATATATACATATGGATATTGATGTGTATCACACTAAGGCTGTGTTTGGTAAGCCAAATAAATTAGGTTATAGCTTATTTGATTAGCTTATAAGCTTCATGTATTCAAATAAGCCTCGTTTCAAATGAGCTTCTTAAAAAAACTCTAGCTTATCTCATAAGCTACTTTAGGTAGCTTTTCAAATAAGTTAGTTGATTTTTTAATTTTAGATAGCTTATCAGCTAATTTTAACAAACATTTTTATTATATAAACTAGTTTTTCAGCTATAAGTCATAAGTTATAAGTTATAAGCTAAAAAATTACAAATAAACTATAAGCTAGCTTATCAGCTAGTTTTAACAAACATAGCCTAAATAAATAGGTTCATTTCAAGTTTTGCACATAATTCGACTTCCTATAGATTTTTTTCTATATGAGTATGTGAGTGTATATAGTGATCCAAATGTAAAAAATGTAGGTGACTGCATTTAGCTCCGAGTGCAACTGCTGCTTTGTGAATCAAAAGGTAATTTAGTAGAGTATATCAAAGTGGACCAAACACTATCAACTAACTTATCAAATATCAACTAATTTTATCAAACATAGTCTTTTATCAAACGACTGTATAATGTTAAATTAGTGCAGAATCCGTGCGATGCACGAGGTGAACAAATTTAACGCTATTTATCCAACTTTATTATTATATCTATTAATATATAAAGAGGGAATGATAGTTGTTTGAAAAAATCATATAGAAAATCAGCAAAAAAAGATTTCAATTCCCGCCTAAAGTTTACTATAATGAGCAGAATTTTTGGCGAAAAAATTGAATATGCCCGCCAGTCATCAATTTGAATTTTTTAGAGATTTTATTTATTGATTTCAACCTATTTGAACTTATCTATTTTTATAAATATGATTTTTTTAATCTAAAATTTGAAAGAAAGATCCGCAGGAAAAGGAGAAAAAAAAAAAAGAAAGATAATCTCTCTCTTTTTATCCCCAAATCATTTTTTTTCTCTCTCCCTTTTTCCCTCTTTTCTTCTTATGCCCGATTTTCTTCTTTCCCGTCACTCTCCTTCTTCTCTTTCTCCAATC